GAATGTACTATTTCGAGTGTCCTTTTTATAGTGTTTCATGTTCTGCTGTGAAGTCATCTGTTACTACAAGCCAGATTTTCCGAGTCAAACTGAGTTACCAGTGTCAGATATTGATAGAGTTAGTGCATTGAACTTAAATGACAGTATTCGAATTGTTCGCAAAGTTTCTTTTTTTTTTTAATTTTTTTTATTTTTTTCATGTACTCAAGAAAAGTTGCTAAATCGGGCGCTGATAATGTAAATGATTATGGGACGTCTAAATTTTGGACACTTAATTCCTTTTCTCAGGTTGTGTTGGGCTTTTCTGCCCATGCTATCTTTTCGCGAAAAACGCACAAGTTTTGGGCTCGGGGACTCTAATAGGATCGTGCATGATGCATTCTATTTTGTGGGCCATTGTCAATACATTTTGCTGCATGTTGACTGAAGGCCTTATGTTGGGCTTACCCGGGTGCTTGGTTGCATGCTATGCTTGTGGCTACCGAAGAACATTAAGGTCAAACTACAATCTCGAGGTAATTTCAGTAGTTTACAATTGTAATGTGTATTATTATTATTATTTTGTGTCACATCATCTATTGTTTTCTCCTTTCTTCCGGGTAATTACTAGCAGTATTTAATTTTTTACCTTCGAATTATTCTTCTCTTACTTCATATATTCAATCTAAGCTTTGGCTATATGATACTTGCTAGCTTCTATCGTTCTATGAGGTTTTTGTCAAAATTAGTGGTTTGGTAAAACCTATTAGACGCCATAAAAACTGTTGGAGTTGATACTTTGATGCGTTAATTTCCCCGACTTTCTTTTACATGTTTTTATTTATTTTTAAATTTTTTTATATACAGGAAGCGCCGTGTGGTGATTTCATCACGCATTTTTTCTGCCATTTATGCGCTTTATGTCAAGAATACAGAGAAATACGCGAAAGGTCTGGAGACTCGAATTCGCTCAGTTTGAATTCCGCACAAGTGACCGCTCCTAATGTGCAGACTATGGAATCGACTTCCTCAGATTCACCTCTCTAGCAACAGGATAAATATTTTTTTTACTGCATTGTCTTTTTAACCGTAATATATGAGTTCTTCGGTAGGCTAAGGCTCTGTTGTTGTACAATCTGAATGCTTGTGTTTGTTAAGGTTAATCTGTAGATAATAAAGATCATTTTTGTGCTGGAAATATTTTCTTTCCCAACACAAATAACAGTGTACTTGTACAAGTTCATGAATTAGCTTCTATTTCTGGAAAGTTCCTCATGTAATTGATTGCTAATTAGCTTCTATTTATAATGATGCTAGCGATGTCAATAAAACCCGTAGGGTCGGGTTACCGTATTTTCGGGTCGGGTAAACCCGAGATTATCTGTTTTGGGTCGGGTTCTGGTAGAATTATGCTACCCGAACACCGGGTCGGGTTGGGTGCGGGTATAGTAGAAAAACCCGTTACTCGACTCGATTACCCTACTCGTTTACCGGGCAACCTTGGAATCTTTTATATACATATATATATATATATATATGTATTTATAACTTATTATAAATATAAAAGTATTCATGTGTTACTAATATTAAAACTTAGATTATTTATTATAAGTCTGATTAATGGTTAAATTTTATTTTATTTCTTATGTTTTTTATAATCAATTTTTGTTAATTGTATAATAAAAAATTTAAATACTTAATTTTTAAATATAATATTATTAATTGACTATACAAGATAAATAATTATATCTCATTATTTATTTCATAAATAATATAATTTATTTTTGTAGTTTTCTATTGTCGAACTTAGTTAATAAATTGTGTGTTACATTATAAATAATTGTGATTTTTTTTTTTTATTTTATTTTTTAATATGAAACGATATGGATCGGGTAAATCCCAAATTTAAAAGCTCGTGTTACCTGTTTACCCGACAAAAATCCATTAGCCCGTCGGGTAAAACCCAACCTAAACCCGAGAATCACTAACCAGGTAACGAGTCGGGTTTGAGTATGGTAAATTACGTGCGGGTCGGGTTTGAGTTTATCAAAAGCCGTACTCGACCCGACCCATTTACATCCTAAATGATGCTTATGGATTGTTGGAGCTTCTTTACTAAGATTGCTAGATTCCAAATTATAAGTATAGTTAAGTTTTGCTTGTTTTTACTTTTTACGTCACAAGCTATGGAGCTTCTATAATAATTGAAACAATCTATACCAATGTAACACAGCCCAATTACTTTTAACTCCAAGAATTTAGTCTAAAAATGAATTTTATATTGTTTTTTATTATTATTATTATAATTCATAAGAAATGATGGATTCAACTATGATTTTCTCAAATGTAAATGTGATTATGGCTAATTTAATTTGGTCAAATGACTTTATTAGCTGTTTTACATAGATGACTGTATTTTAAATATCGATATCATAATAATTTTATATTCAACCAAATAATTTTATATTATAATAGACACATGCTATAATTTTTTGTTCTTGTCCTTTTTGTTTGTTATATATATATAATATTTGAATTCTAGAAAGAAAAAAAAAACAAATTATCCTATTAACTTCCATGATATTCAGTACATTATTCTACGATTTTATCCAATGGAACACAACATGATCACTTGTTAAAATCCTCCAAATTTTTTAATTGTAATAAGTCTATAAATAGTCAAAAAAATAGTTTATAAATAATTTTATTTCTTATAGTATGAATATTAGATATAAGAATAAAATCAAGTTTTTGATATATAAATGATGAAAGTTAGCATGTAAAATCAGGAAACACTTCGAGTGCTTGGCTGGTTGGAGACACCACATATTTACCTCTTCAAATTTTGTAAACTGCTGCTCCCTGTCACCCTCTGTCCGTGGTAGATTTATATATGTGGATTTGTTCTTACTTTCGGTTCACACCTTGAGCTACTTGAGCTTGGAACTTCAGTAATTCTGTTCAACTGTAAAATTAATCAATTATGGGAAATTATGAGGAATAGAGACGAAGGCTTGAATATGGATATGAAATATGTGGTTGATGATTGAAAAGTCCAACAATTAAGAGTGAATGAACCTTTTTGACCCGAACTTGCAAGAAATTTGACATCTAAACATTAGATCACACTATCAATTACGTAAAAATAGAGCTCTTTTCAGTATTTTATTTAGCTTTCCAGCATCTGCTCTGAAACCTTCATAAGTTTTTAGCTCGACTATTAAGTGAACATTTTTTTTTTTTAATTCTCGGTGTTAACTCTCTGATCATGTATTTTGGTATTTGTTGTTGTGATGTTATGTAATCTGTTCTCTCTTCATTTGCTAAATATTTTTACTGTTTCGAAAAAAAAAAAAAAGTTTTTGT